TGTGGAAGATGAATCGAGTCGAATGGCATCGAACGATTCGAGCGATTCGGCACAATGGCATTATCGGCAAAGCCATTTAGAAGCAGCGCGTTCATTCGGATATCCTGTCTGTATGCCGACTCGTCGTACCACGAGTAATCTTCGTTTCGCAGGCGGCTTGGATCAAGGATCGTACAATCAGGGACAGGGACAGCAACTCCCGTTGGATCCTTACAATCAAGAAGCCGGCGATCCTTACGGAAGACCCCGAGGTTATGACGATAACTATGGCGGGGCAGAGCAAAGCTCCAGAGATTCTTACGGCGACGGATACAGAGGAAGTTATGGAACAAGGGACGATTATGGCCGCGAAGATCCTAACGGGCAACGCGGAGGATACTCTCAGCATGGACAACATGGCGGATACGGCGCGGCCGGCGAGAATTCGGAGAATTACCCGAGCAGTTACACGGTCGTGCCAGCTCCAGGATACGCTGGCAAGTGTAACGGGTCGGCTTGCTGCGTGCCGAAATGTTTCGCGGAGAAAGGCTCCAGAGTAAATATTTGCTGGATATATCTGATTCTAATTGAATCTCTTTATCTTATCATTTCTACGTTTCGTCTTTCTATGTTTGCTGGATTATCCGATTTTTTAGCTAAATCTTTCTTAAATCACTATATCTCTATAGCTCTGCATTTTGCTGGATTGTCCGATTTCTAATTGAATTTTTTCTCTCTCTCTTAAAATTACAATTTCTTTCTCAATTTCGAAATCTTAAACTACAGAACATAAATACATAGATATATGTGTGCTGTAGTTTGAAGATAATTTAGGTCAAAAGGACGCCATTTTATTTCATTGAAATAATAGGGTATTTATAATTGTATCTGTCTGCCTAATTGCTCGAAGAATTGAGATTTTTTTTCAATCACAGGAAGAACAGTGTAATCGATAATTTAAATTGTTGTAATTTCCTCAAAAGAATTCGGACGCAACAATCCACTTTCAAAAGTCTCATTTTCGAAATATTGATCTTGTGTTCCAAAGACGATTGTAATATTGTAAACGCGAGTGAAAAACTAAGGATATACTTTTTCTTTTCTCGAAAATTGTAGAAACTCAAACATTTCTGTAGAAACAAAACAATTTTCTTCACGATCTTTTAAAACGCGTTGCACGATTCTTTCTCACCATTTCATTGAACCTTTGAAGGATTAAATGACGAAATATCAGGATTTCTTAGATTTAGAAAGAAAAAAAAGAAAGGATTAGTCGTAAGATTTTATTTTTCAAACTGATGTCTTAGAGACATTTGAATTTTTACAATTTTCAACGAAGCTCAAGCTGATTGTTGCGTAATTTTCTTTTACAAAGCCACAACAGTTTAAACTATCGACGATCTTCTTTTTCTTATCGTAGCGCTCCTCGCTGTACACCAGAGTGCTGAAACGAAATAATATAAAAATAAAAATAATATAATATAAATTATTTTGATTTACGTGTACAGGGTCCACCGGGTGTAATGGGACCACAGGGTCCGAAAGGTCAAAAGGGATTCCCTGGAACAGAGGGTCTTTTGGGACCGGAAGGAGAGAAAGGTGATCCTGGTCCTCAGGGACCACGTGGCCCGAAAGGTGACAGAGTATGTACAAATATATATGTATATATATATATATATATCTCGATTAACTTTCGTTTCTATTTATATGTATATATATAACAATACACGATTAATAATTATTTTCCGCAGGGTAAAATGGGTTTACCTGGATTCACTGGTGTAAGTGGTGTTCCTGGAGTTCAAGGACCGCCTGGAGCACCTGGTCTCCCTGGTCGTGACGGTTGTAATGGAACAGATGTACGCAAATAACCTTACTGTCGGTGTAAAAATATCCACAATGCACATAATATATACAAAACCTTTAAAGAGGTTACAATACAAAATGATACAAAAGTACATAAATTATCCAGGATAGGATACCAACTATATTATTGCGAGTGAAGTAAATCTTCGCTCAGGTCCCATTTGTCCATAATTGCATTAGCTTGCTTCCTTGGAAAATTCGTTGCGAAAATTATGGTAACCGAAATATAATGGCAACCACGAGCAGTTTCTTCGATTTTGTCGTGCAGGGTGAGCCTGGCCCGAAAGGTCGTTCCGGAGAGCGTGGTCCTCGTGGTTATCCAGGTCCTCGAGGGTCCAAGGGAGACAGAGGTCAACCGGGATTCGCCGGCAGGTTCCCTGTAGGTCAAAAGGGAGAGCCAGGTATAGACGGAGTCAGAGGTCCTCCAGGACCACCGGGGCCACAGGGAGAGCGTGGATTTTCTGGGCCAAAGGGCGATCGTGGACCTTACGTAAGTCACTATCATCCGTACATTGAATCTTATCACGGAAAGGAAGAGAGAGAGAGAGAGAGAGAGAGAGAGAGAAAGGATCTTCTGATGTAGAACGTTCCACTGTTGTTCTTGTTGTTCTTAGGGACCACCTGGACTGCAAGGGCAAAAAGGAGAAAAGGGAAACATGGGTCTTGCGTTCGAGGGTCCGAAGGGTGATAAAGGCCAGAAGGGAGAGGCAGGACCACCTGGAACGCCTGGACCCCAGGAACCATTTGGGAGGCGGGAAGAAGTAACGGGTCCGCAGGGAGATCGCGGCGAGAAAGGAGACAAGGTATCTGCGTTTTAAGCATTCGAAATTTCACTTGGCCCTTGGTTTCTTGAAAAGTTGCAAATTTGTAAGTTTCTCGAGGCATGAAAATTTTTTTTGTAAAAATACGTAAGTGTATGTAGTTATTATTAAATCACATATATAAATAATTCAATTTAATTAATATATATATATCAATTTAGCATTTAATCATATTAATTTAATAATGCATTTCATTAACTGTATTTTATTTGATTTTACAATGATAGGGTGAAAGAGGGCCAGATGGCCAGAAAGGAGAACCGGGACCACTTGGGGACCATGGTATTCCCGGTAATTCAGGTATGAAAGGAGAAAAGGGCCTTCCAGGTGCACCGGGTATTCGTGTACGTATGCATCAATTTCTAGCACAGGAGGAAACTGTAGAAACGATGTCGATCAATCTGAACGTTTAATGTTTAATTAAATCCAGGGTAGGGACGGTTTCTCCGGACCTCCAGGTCCACCTGGACGTAAAGGTGATCGAGGCTACGACGGTCTGGATGGTCTCCCTGGTCGTCCAGGACTGAAAGGAGAGCCAGGTCGAGATGGATCTATGGGTGTTCCAGGCTTGAGAGGACCTCCTGGCCCACCTGGGGCAAGTACCACCTGAACATCGATCGCCCTTTTTCCCCTCTGAAATGAGTACAAATTTCAGAATTAATATCTGCTGGAATTTTAAAACAAAAATCATCTAAAATTTAAACTCTACAGCCGGATGCATTGACTTTCAAAATTTTATAATAACCAGTTGTGAAAGGCTCGGGTTAATCGATCCTTGCTTCTAACGAGTACAACATTTAGAATTGAAGTCTACTAAAATTTTAAAATCAAAATCTTCTAAAATTTAAGATCTACAGCCGAATGAATTGACTTTCAAAATTTTATAATAACGAGTTGTGAAAGGCTCGGATTAATTAATCTTCGCTTCGAATGACGAATTACAGGGCGGCAAAGGTACGCCAGGGCCACCAGGACCAAAAGGACCTCAAGGTTTTCCAGGTCCCATTGGACCACGCGGTGCCGATGGATATCCGGGAGATCCAGGTCCAAGAGGACCTATAGGACCTGCGGGAGGGCCAGGTTTACCCGGCATTCCTGGCCCAGAAGGTTTACCAGGAGAAAAAGGAGCGAAGGGAGAACCGGGGATCACGGGATTCCCGGGACCAACGGGTCCCCGTGGATTTGATGGCCCGCCAGGTTTACCAGGTCCGCGAGGACCATCCGGAGAAAAGGGAGCGTCAATTATGGTTGGTGTTTATTCAGAAATCGATATCGAGATTTTAATTTTTCCAAAAAATTAAACTCTAATTAAATTAATTAGAAAATATTAATTTTCAAGTATTACGCGCTATGAGTTTTCAAATTTTGTATTATACTAACGATCCTTTTAGTTAATATTTTTTAAATTATCAAACCTTTTCTCGAAAAATTCTCCAAAAAATCAAACTCTAATTAAATTAATTGGGAAACATTAATTTTTAAGTGTTTTGTGTTTAAGTACTACGAGTTCTTAATTTTTAGGTTATACTCGCCACGATCCTTCTAATTAATACTCCTAAAATTATCAAACATTTTTAAAAAATTTTATTCTAATTAAATTAATTA